CGTTCACATACACTCTCACATACGCACATAAACACACAATTCAAAATAAAATAACTCTTTAAAAATACCTCTTAAGAAAGTAAGCTATATTCGGGAAAATAATTTTCCGAGCTACTCATTCCCAGCGTCCTGTAACATTACCTGCAATTCATGATGCATGTATTACCAGATTTTAAAAATCATAAAGGCACTTGATTGGAATAACTTTTTATGATGTCTAAAAGTTCGTTTGTTTTTCTCTTTGCTGCTCATTTCTGCTTGAAGTATTTATTTGGATTTATTTTTATCTGTTTTACTGTGTGTTTATGTGGAAGTCTTGGGGTTTGCTTTTGTTTTTTGCATGAGTGTACATATTCATGTGTGCGCAGGTATGTGTGTTTGGGGTGCATGTACCTGTGAGTGTGTTTGTGTGTGTGTGTGTGTGTGTGTGTGTGTGTGTGTGTACCAGAGTTCAACCTCAGGTGTCACTTCTCACACACCACCCAGTGTGGCTTTTGACACAGGGTCTCTCACTGACCAGGCTCTCACCAAGTAGGTTAGGCTGGCTGGCCAGGGAGTCCCAGAGATTCACATGTCTCTGCCTCCTCAGTGCTGGGATTCCAGGTGCACTCTACCACACCTGGCTTTTCTTACATGGGTTCTTGGTTCCAAATCAGGTCCTCAAGCTGGAAAGGCAAGCTCAGACTGAGTCATCTCCTCAGCCCCAAAGCATTTGTAAAACACGGTATGGATGTGTGACAAAGGCAAAACAAACCCCGGAGAGGGAGAAACCCACTGCGATACTTCAGAGACACTGCATCTCCCTTGGATGTGGTTCTTCTAAGCCTAAGAAGCCTCTCTTGGCATGGACTAAGCAAGGGACTTCAGCAAATTCATGTTTGGGCTTGAGAAGAGTTTATTGTAGGATCACAGAATTAGGAGATTAAGATGCACTGCTCTGTCCACCCTTCCCAGTATGTATTCTGTTCTAAATGACTCTGACTTAAATGGTAGTTTCAGAACACGCTGAGAAGTACAAAGTGTCATTCATGTTTGATGGATAGGATTAGAGCAGATATAACAAAAATGCATTAAATTTCCCTCCAAGGGTTCCTTTTGTGAGTATCCGTTTACTCGACTGGTTTCTTTATATTTCTGGTCTTTGCATTCCCTATAGAATTTCTGTAAGCGCTGCCTGTCAATCCAGTTTTTATTGCTTTCATTTTTAATACTCCAATTGGAACATTTTGCAGAATAGACCAGCCATGCTAAAATATGACACGTGGTTTCTCTGTCAGTCTAAGAGACTGAGCGTGGACTTGTACCACAAATTAAACCAGCATATGGGGTGTGGGAAGGACTTTGTTGAGTGGTCCTGCGTGCCTGTCATGTCCTTATGATCCCTGAGTAAGTCTTCATGCACTCTGCTTCATAAACAAGATCTGTCAAAGAATTAAAAGGGATTATCAAATGCTAATCATGATTTTTATAGAAAAGAGTTTATCTATTACTAATGCCCTTGCAATCACAGAATGCAGACATTACTTAAACTTCCCCCAGACACCAATGCATGGTGCTGGGTTCCCTCTTTGGGCTCTCATCTTGAGCTTCTAGCCTGGTTGTGGGACCTATCTTTCATGGTCCCATTCTGACATTGGCTCTGCATTCACTCATCCATTCACCCAGTAAATACTTAGTAATTCACTACTATACCTCAGGGTCTCTCCTAGGCAACAAAGCTTTTATGAACTAAAGCTTCATCCAATTGACATTCTAAAGAGAAAAATAATCATTACGCATACTACATATTTCAATTTGGACTTCCATAGAAAATTACAATGACTGATGGTCCTAACAGAAGTTTATCACCTCACAAATTCTGAAGGCTAGAAGTTGAAGATCAAGGAAATAGTTTGACTCCTGTGAGGGTACCTTTACTGTCTCCTGAGATGGCTTTCCTTTTGTTTGTATGAGGGGACCATAGAAAAAAATAAGCTCTCAGGTATGTGTTATTCATTAAAATCACAAATTCTGCTTAACCAATGACCTGCTTTTATGTCATTTAACTTCAATTCCTTCTATAGAGGAATATCCCAATGCAATCACACCAGCAGTTAAGATTTCAGCTTATGAACTGCAGAAGTGGGGAGGGGGCACATTCAACACTTTCATAGCATATATATTAGTTACTTTTCTGTTACTGTGATAGAAATATCATAACCAAGGGAACTTGTAAAAGGATAAGTGTATTTAGCTTGTGGTTCTAACCGGGCAAGAGTCCATCATGGCAGGGTGGCATGGTGGCAGAGGTGGCTGGAGTAGGAGCAGAAGCTAAGTTCTCATATCTTCACAAAGGCACAGGAAGCAGAGAGTGATTGGAGATCTGGCAAGGCTTAAGAACTCTCTAAGCCTGGCCCCAGTAACATGCTTCCTCCAGCATGACTTTCTAAGACCTCACATAACAGAGCCACCAACTGGTGGCAACATGTCCAAATACTTGAAGCTTGTGGGGGACATTCTCATTCAAACCACCACAGCATATAGAAATACATTTTTTTTGAAAACTTCATGCTGCCTTAAATACTTATGAGAACTAAGGAAAAAGAAATAGAGAAAAATAGGGACCAAGATAATAGTTGCTATTTTAGGTGTGAGTACTCTACAGGTGTGATGGTTGAGGGAGAACAAAGGGGCACTCCGGCAGACACTGAGGCCATGTTCTGGATAGAGATTGCTGCACACTGAACTGCTAGATGGGAACTAGAATAATAGCAACATGGGAGAGAAGGATGTTAGTGTTCCTACGTCCTGGGTGTGGGGCCAGTGAGGTAGGAAAATCAGGCAAAGAAGTTGGTGGAAGCCTGATTGCCTGGCCAGTGTGGAGAGTTTGAATTCTGCTGTTGTTGCAGTGGGAAGCCTTGATGAGCTTTAAGGCAGATGAAGATGTATGGAAGGCACCATTTGAGAGACTAAATGGAGAAGCTTGTAGCACTGTTTCTTAATCACATCCATCTTTCTTGTAGTACATATAGTAAGTGCTCAGTAAACTTTTTATTCTGGGAAAGAATTCAAGTGTATTGATGAAAAACAAGATTTCTAAAGCAAAGAAAAAAATGTGTCTAGATGGGTATAATTTAAATGCAATAATCTGAAATTCTGTGATTGGCTTTAAAATTTTTGTATTATATCACCATAGCACAGATTTATATGCAATCATCAATTGCAGAGAACACAGAGTAGTTTCTACATGATCCTAACAAGTGTCCTTTCTTTCATCGTAACACAATGAAATAGCTTCAGAAGTTAGAGCTATTGCTTACAATGTTGAAACACGAAAGTACTTTGAGAAAATATCTTCATTTTTTTAGGGAAAAGTATTTTTTCATTTTCTCTTCTTGAACAAAATTTTAATTCTTTCCAATATAGCCAAAAGCTCATACCCCTGGCAGTACCATCCAATGCTTGAATTTCTTCTAATTCTTAGTTTAAAAATCTGTTCACAAATGAGCTATGCAATTTCATCACCTTTTTTTTACTTCAAACTCTCTTTACAAAATTTATTATTTTATTTTAATTTTAATTGATTTATATTTATTTTATGTATATGAGTGCTTTGTCTGCATATATGTAAGTGCACTCATGATGTGCAATGCCCATGGAGGCCGGAAGACGGTGTCAGATTCCCTGAAACTGCAGTTACTGATGGCTGTTAGCTTCCATGTGGGTGCTAAAACCTAAACCTGGGTATTTTGCAAGAGCAGTTAGTGCTTTTAACCTCTGAGGCTCTTTCCCAAAACTGAATAGTACAGAACCAACGTTTCCTCAATGATCTTCATCTGTGACACCAGCTCCGACTTCTGTGGGCTGTTTTACAGCCAAGCTTGAACTTGGAACTGTCTGTTTTTACAACAACTCCATAGTATTGAATAATCGCAGGCACAGTGCAGGTCTAGGTTAGAGTCCTTCACCTATGCAGACCCCTGGGTAGGTTCAATGTGTTTGCTCTGAGAGCAGTAAAAGCACAGCTATGTGTCACAGTCCTCACCAGGCCAGCCTGCTTGCTGTAGGAGCCCATGGTTATCTCTTCAGAGCAGGGCCTGACTAGCACCTAGAACCTTTTAAAGTAGAATGATGGATTTTGTGTAAGTCACGAGGTGTCTTTACAAATGACAATTTGGAGGTGCTTAAGAGATGGCTTACTATTAAAAATCACTTGCTGCTCTTGCAGAGGACCTGGTGTTTGGTTCCCAGCACCTACTCTTCAACTCACAAGCACCTGTAACTCCAGTTCCATGGGATCTGACTCTCTCGTATGGCCTCTGTGGACACTGCATGCATGTGGTACACAAACATATATGCAAGCAAACACTCTAAATTTAAAATAAACACATATATTAAAAAAATAAAATTAAATATTTATTTTACAAGACAGTTTGGAGCTGGATATGATGGCATGCACAGGTAATTCTCAAAGTTGGAAGGCAGAGGCAGGACAATGTCCATGAGTTCAAGGCAGGTCTAGGCTCTACAGTGAGACACAAGCTGTTCTCTTCTCTTCCCATGAAGAAAGTATTCTCTGCACAAGGCATGGACCCTAGCACAAAATATCTAGAGCCTTCTAGGAATGAAGTTTTATTTCCTGAATAGATGCAGTCCCTGTCAGTATACCACTGGCCATCTCTGGAAAACTTGTCACGTTTTTTTAATGACTGTTCTTTCAGAAACCTTCTGGGCAGCATCAGCTTTTGCGAAGGATGAACATTTTGGCTTTTCCTCTCCTATTGGTTGTCAGCAGTATTACGGCCCCTGGCATAAGAGAGCTTTCGGCAGCTGCTTTTTCACAATGACGCGAGTGGTCATTTTTTAGGCTGTTTTGTGTCTGTTTGTGGAATCAGATACCAAGAGCTGAGACAAAAGCACAAGGGTACAACTCCTTCCCAGAGCTTTGTGGTGCTGGATTTTAGAGGCCAGGCATGCAGCACCTACATGAACATTCTTTTTCTGTTGTTTTCTGTTTGCAGATTTTATTCTTCACCGTACAGTCTCGCAACCAACCGCATGATCCCACAGACATCTATCACGCCATTCATTGCTGCCTCCCCTGTCTCCACATACCAGGTACGTCTGATTCACTGCACTTTGGGAGAGCTGTTCCTTGCCAGTGATATGCTACTGAGAGGCAAAGGGGACGTGGTAGAGTTGAAAAAAAATACCTCCTACATGGTAGTAACATCTTAATGTGATGCTGTAGTTACAAATCAGCCTAGAGTTTCCTAGGCTGATTTGTATTAATATACTGAATAATGAAATCCAGCATGCTTTGGATTTTTCCTACCAATATCCACACAGCTCCTTCAACATGGGAAATGATTCTTTTCATTTTTGACTGCTTTGGTTGTTCACATTCCTTACTGGGTCTTTTCCAATAAGCACCCTCCTAGAGAGTCCTTCTCCTTCTAGAGCATTCTGATGTTATTATTTCATTTTTGTTGCAGTTGTCCTGGCAAAGATATATGGATAGATGTTGACTAGACTTCCTCATAGGGAAGGTGATCAAAGTGGTAAAAAGTTTTCTTTTGGCCTGATCTTCACCTCCTTCTCATTCCCAGAACAATCAGAAGACTTTAGGGGTCCTGCATGTTGAAATACAGGGGCCCCATGAGACTCACTGTGTGTCCTAACCCAAGTGTTGTAACCTCTTTTCTCCAAAACCATGTGTGGACTGAAATAGTCACACTTCTCCCTCAAAACAACTCCTGATCCTGCTCTTGTGAGTTACTTACCAGCTACATGATACCCCTCCTTCTTCTGTACCTAATATGGCTCTTTTTAAGTCTTCTAATTCTAGTTAGAAACTGCCTATACATATGAAATATAGAATTTAGTATCTTTAAAAAAGATGGAGAGAGATTTAGAAAGAGAACGCGCAAGTGTGTGCATGAATGGACCTCTCTCCAGTTGACAAAAGGCATGTGGGCAGATGTTTCCAAACGGGCAGAGTGCTCTCATATTGTGACAGTCCCCTGGTTCACTTTATACTTTGTTCAAGATACTCAGTCTGTGAGAACATCAAACTTGAAGACGCTATGCATTTTTCCCTTAACTACTGATTCCCCTATGAGCATATAATTTTCATTCATTTTCTGCACTGTAACTCTTGAAAAAATATCCATAATTTTTTTATATAAATTTCACTAGGGGGTCCTAGAGTAGCTGACTTCTTAACTGCCTTTCTTGGGACCCATGAGGTTGTGTGCAGGTGCGTTTAAGTCTGGTTTGTCCCTCAGGCCTCTATGTGTATGTGTTCTTGTGTGTGTGTGTGTGTGTGTGTGTGTTTGTTCTTTTTTCAAATCTTGGCTCCTGCTTGAGCCAAGACCACCCACTGAGCCACAGAATGGAATACTTTGGTGATGTGAATAAAATATCCACAGAAAAGTCATTTTCCTAGGGCGGGCTCATACATGAAATTTAACTTTAACTCCCTCTTTCAAATGAGAGATTAAAGTAATTTCCCATGTTGTTGATTCTTACATTGTACCACTTTAAAAAAATCCAAAGTATATTGGCAATTTTGTTGGTGAGAGTATATTTCAAAACAAATTCTTCCCAGCTCTCTGTGTGACGATCGACTCACAAAAACTTGTCTTTCTTATCCAGCTGACACATGATATATTTAAAAAAGAGTTACTGGCTGACATACATACTTTTTTTCATGACACCAGTTGTTATAATGGAGAAGAGCATCACAAATATGTTTAGCTTGACTTTAACCTAAAACTTCCCTCCAAATTTTATGCTTTGTTTCTTTATTTCTGACATGGATATTGCTGCTTAGACAGGTCTAAGATGGGCTCACCTGAGCATACAAAGTTGCAATTGCTGTTAACAGAGCAAGTAAGTTTTAGTAACCCTTGCTTCTGTTGGTATTTTCCTGGATATTGCTGGGAGCCGAACTGCAAATAGATTCTGAAGCTTTTTAAGACTTCAGTCTCCTCTAACTTCAAGATAAGTTTTCAGGATTCAGCCTCTAGGGCTGGAGAACAGGCTTAGTAAAGTTCTGGCAAGACCTGAGATTGATACACAGAATCCACAGAAAACAAAACAACCAGGAGCAGTTAGCACATGCTTATAATCCCAGGACTGGGGAGGCAGAGACAGTGGATTCCTGGAGCTCACTGACCTGCTAGCCTAGCATGCATGGCAAGTTCCAGGCCAGTGAGAAACCCTGCCTCAAAACAACATGGCACCCGATGAATGACAACTTGGGTCTCAGGTTGTCCTTCTGGCTTCCACAGTCACACACAAAGGTACACACACACACACACACGCACACATGCACACTCATACATATACACACATGCTTACATACACATGAATGTACATGCATACATATATCCATATGCATACTTACAGGTACACATAGAAACATACAAGCACATGCACGCACACATAGACACATGCATATATGCATATACGCACTCGTGCACACATGCACACCAACAAACACACATGGACACGTGAACACACACTCATGTGCATGCACATACATGTAGACAGACACGTGCTCTCAGCCTGATCTGCATGGTACTGCCACTGGCCACTGAAATAGAAGTTTCTTTTAAATTTCCCTGAGTTTCAGAGACCATATTAATCAGGGCTGCAAAGTCCCAATCCTTGGTCTTGAGTACTGAGTAGCTGCAAAGTCCAGTGGACTCTGCTTTCCTATGACCTACTGTGACATCACCCAACAGAAGAACCCAGTTCCCTCTGTGATTGCTCTGTGCTAATGAATGCTGTTTAATGCATAGGTCCAGAGTACTTCATGGACGCCTCATCTGCCATACGTTATGCAACCAACAGTAAGTGTTCTCAGTCACCTGAGGCTAAATATTTCTTTTATCCAAGTGCAAGCTTTTGTAATGTATAGTGGCTTTAGGGTAGAGCTTCACATGTGTGCCAGAACTCTTCCAAGCAGCTGTATCTCCAGAGACAAAACAGTCCCCAAACAAGACATGGAAGTATGTGTGATACACGCTGGAGATGGGGATGGAGATGATGTTGGTATCGGCTTCAGGAAGTCAGAACTCTGGAAAATTAAGTTCACAGCAGGAGAAAACGCTTTCTGTATTTGCTTTCTTCCTGTAATGATTTCTTCACTCCGGACATGATCTCTTGGTCTCTGGGATCAATTTGGAGCATGGTGGCCACACACCCACTCATAGAAATGTATTTGTAAAGCAAAGGTCGTTACAGACAGAGATGATAGTGCCCAGACAACACTGTTTGCAGTTTTGGTGTTAATGACTAATAGCCATTCTATTGTTTGGTGAAAAAATGTCTTCCAATATATGTGAAGTGTTTTCTACTGCTAGAATTCCCATTCGTGGTATATTACCTCAGGGCCCAGTGAGAACTCTGATGTTTTGCATTGGGATCTAGAATGAAAGCAAAGGGTTCCTTTGAACTTTGTCTTGCAAGTTTTCTAGCTCAATAGGAAATGGTGAGAGAAAGTCAGGGAGTAAATGAGAAAGAAAGAGAAACAGAGAAAGGGAGAGATTTCAGTAGCAACACACTTATGAGAGAGTGTGGGGCAGAGGAAAAGTCCAAGACAGAAAGGCGTGTTGGCGAACAGCCAACATCTATACCTTTATTTCCTTCTCTGTCACTCAGTACTTTGGGGGGAGGGGGCAAGAGAAAGCATACATGCATGTAAAGAATGTAAAATCTGATCTGTTATATGTCACGAGCATTATCTTCATTCTAGAACGTGTCAGTGGGACACAGAGGGAGCACTGTTCCATGTTAATCTTTTTAGATACTAAATTTACATAAAGTAGCCCATAGAAAAGGGAACTAAATGAAGGCACACATACACACATGCACATTCAGAGACACACATAGACACACATACAGAGACATGCACACATACAAACAGACATCCATACATAGACACAGGCCCACACATACAGACATACATAGACCCACACAGACACATATACAAAATTATTCCTTCTACAAACACATAAATTATTTAAATGTGTTTAAAATTGTAAATGATAAAATTATTGATTATACACCTATAAAATCTTTTAGTTTATTCATAAAAAATAAGTGAAATTATTTATTATACACACAAATATATTTTCTGGACTCGAGATCAGAGAATCTGTTTTTCCAAATTTGAACATTTTCATTTTTAAAAAAAAAAATGAACTTTCCATATTGCCTCTAATTTCATCTGATCTGTGTTCTATAAATGATATCAGTATGTCTAATATACAATGACATATCCAGGCTCTTCTGTCCAAGTCATGAGGTCAAATTCAGCACAGACTGCCAAAGCAACATATGGCCCAGCACAGACAGAGCAGGCACAGGAAGTGCACAGAACTGCCAAATTCTAGAGAGGAAACTCTAGAAGGAGCCAGCCACCCTCTTAAAGAAAGTCATGTGTTCACTTTTAGAACAATAGCGCTGTTGGTCCTCTGCCTGGCACCATCCCTTTGTGGCCAAAAGCGATTCACATGTGGAAAAACCTGAATATTTTGCCGGATATTGCAGCATGTGAGATTCCCTAGTGCCTTCTTGAGCTTTGAAGAAAAGGGAAAATAGTTGTCTAGATCCAGTTTTCAACTGTCGCTAAGAACTATAGCAAAGGCTTTCAGCTTCCTCCTCCTCCACCCCAGCACACAGTCAACCCTGTGTTTGCATGTGCATTTATAACACACCTTCCTCAAGCAATAGGTATGTGTGTGTGCGTGTGTGTGTGTGTGTGTGTGTGAATTTGTCTCCTTGGATTTTGCTAGCTGTGGCTTCTGTTTATGATACCATTTCACTTCCCATGACTGAATTATGCATCATGGTTGGGCTTAGACCTCTAAGGTTCAAATGTGAGGTCCATGGCTAGAGCAGTTTCCTAGACAGAGAAGTGCCTAGACCACCCACGCTTTGTTTCCTGAGCTTGGAAAAATGAGCTAAACGGTGTCATGGAAACGCTGATTTTATGCTGTTAGCCTTTGGCCCCTGACCATCTTGCTGATTGCCTATATTGTACAAGAAACTTTACCAACTGGCCTGAGGGTCATCATCAAACCCCAAATGGGAGTTGCAGGGATCATTCTCTGTGACACTAAAATATAAATATACTTCAGTTATCTAAGGCCAAGAAACATTAACAACTGGATCTGGCAAGACTGAGCACACTGATGTCTCATAGTGTAAATTCTTGACTTGGTTTGTTGAGTTAGGAAATATGTCTAGTTTATGGGGAGCTGGAAAACTTAAGACTTCTCATCTTCACATGAACATGGTAATACATAAGTGATTGTGTGTTTTAGAAAAATGAATTTAAGTATCAACAACTCTGAAAACAGTTCCTGGCAAATAGAAAAAAAAAAAGGATTATTACTGAGTAAATAAATAAATGTCTACTTAGGCTTTAATTAAGTTCATTTGTAGAAAATGAGGCCTGGTATATAAACAAATCTGAGAATAACATGAATCATCCATTTCTAATACATTTAGTAACTAACTTACTTTGCCAGTAAGTTCAGGGAAGATAAAAGTTAGCCATAAATAAGTCAATTTACTTATACTATCACTTAATGACTTATTAAACAATTTAACACCTATTTTTTTTTATTTTTATTTTGTTAGGGACTCCCTGTAGCCCCAGCTGGCCTGAAACTCACTATGTAGACCAGGCTGGCCTTGATCTCCCAGAGATCTGCCTGCCTCTGCCTTAAGAGTGCCGGGATGAAAAGAATGCACTACCATGCTCAGCTCCAACACCTAACTCTTAAAGGCAACAACCATTGGGTACATCTTTTATCCTTAACAGGAGCCTGCTATATAAGTATATCCACAGTGTCAATATTCACATCTCAAATCTACCACTGTAATTTATTTTAAACATTCCTCCTAGTCAGCATTAACTGTCAACTTGACACAGTCTAGAGTCATTTAAAAAAGGAGTCTCAATTGAGTAATTTTCTTTATCAGGTTGACCTGTGGGCATGTCTGTGAGGGACTGTCTTGATTGATAGTTGATGAAGGAGGGCCTAGCCCCCATGGGTGAAATCATCCCTAAGCAGATGGTCCTGGGCTGTACAAGGAAGCTAACTAAGCATTAACTGGAACAAACCAGAGAGTGAGCCAGCTGGCAATGTTCTCCATGATTTCTGCTCCAGGTTCCTGCCTGGAGTTCCTGCTCTGACTTCACTCAGTGATGGACTGTGACCAGGAAGTAAGATGAAATAAACTCTTTTCTCCCCTAAGTTGCTTTGGGTCTTGCTGTTTGTCTCAGCCACAGAAAGGAAACTAGAACATTTCCTATGACATGCAGTCCCCATCTTTATACAACCTTGTGTGTGACTCACTGTTAGTGGTAGCTTCTCACATTGTCATGCACATGTGCTGACTAAGTGGGAGCCAGCTGCCTCACTCCAAACAGAAGTCCTTCAGCTTCCCTCTCCGGCTTAGCTCAGAGGGCTCTCAAACAGAGAAGACAAAACAGTGAAATCATGAAGTATTAAAGCAGAGCCCAGTGCCGGGAGTCTTTTTGTCAGAGTGCATGAATGGCTAAACTGGAACAGTAGCAATTGGTAAGTGAGAAGTGAAATCTGTATGGAAAAGGGAAGGGAACACTGAATGAGAAAAAAAAGACTCACAAACACACAGCTGTCTCGTTGCACTTCTCTACCACCTGACAAGAAGAAATTTAAGGCAGGAAGGCTTTTTCAGGCTCATGGTTTAAGGAGATATCATCTGTCAGGTGAGGAAATCCTGGCACCAAGGGCAGCTCTTAGGTGTGGAGGGAGCAGGACCAGGCTTGCTCACATCTTACCAAACCAGAAAGCAGAGCTGGGTGAAATGTGGCTGCTCAGCTGGCTTTCGTCTTTTCTCCTTTTCATTCGGTCTGGAGCAGCTTGCCATGAGCTGGTGCTGCACATATTTAGGATGGGTCTTCCTCCCCCCTCTAGGTAATTCTCTCTGGAAACATCCTCACAAGCTCTCAAAGGTGTACCTCAGCTAGTTCTAGGCATGTCTTAACCCAGTCAGCGTGGCAATCAAAAGTGATGCTCACAGCAGCTTGACATTCCCGCTTGCGTCCTTCTTCAGAGATTTGATTTTCTTCTTTTTTCTCTTTTCTTAATTTTTAAAAATATTTTATTGAATTTTTGAGCATTTTAACTATCTTTATACCCCCTTCCCCCTTGACCGCCCCCCACCCATACCCTCCCCAGTGGAATTCATACATTCTGTTATTTGTGTTAAGGCCTAGCCTGTCAAGTTAAGTGTCCCCAATTGTCCCTCAGCACAAGTTCATCCACTGGGGTCTAGTCAGCCCACCTAGAGTCCCTCCCTTTAAGAAGATCAGCTCTTCCTCAACCAGCAGTAATCAGCTAATAATAGCTCTTCTACTCAGATTGGGGCCTGACACACATTTCCACAGTTCTATGCTGGGTTTTTGTCTCCTTGAGTTTGCATGGGTCTTGTGCATGCTGACACCATAGCTGTCGGTTCGTATGAGAAACCTGTCCCAGGAGCCTGTAGGACTTTATTTCCATATGTTCATGTTTCAACTCACTGGTTTTTACGGTTTTTCCGCCCCCTCTTCTGCAATGGTTCCTGAACCCTAGGTGGGTGGACATGAATATAGGAGACCTGTCCACGGACCCATGCTCTGTAAATATACAATATTTTCTGTGCTGATCATTGATGTGGTTTTTAGGTCTTGAAGCTGAGGTTGGACCATCAAGATTGATGGTCTCCCTTACCAGCTTCTGTAATGCTCTCCAACGCTATTGAGAACTAGCCTTCAGGGGAGATGGCTTCCAGGTCAGTTCCAGCTCCACTG